AAAGACTCTCCAAATGGGCAAGGATTCAACCTAAAAATGCAGAGTGACTAAGAAACTTGTCAGACTTTCTGAACGCCTGTCAAGATGCCATTCCTCATGTCAAGGGCCTTGACATATTAAACGACTGCGAGGAGAACCACTATCCACAGTGGCCTCTCTATATGACCCTCTCGGGCTTGTGGCACTCATCCTGCTCAAAGCGAAGATCATCCTTCAAGAGATGTGCAGACGTGGCACGGGCTGGGATGATCCACCCACTGATGAACTTCATCTACGATGGGAACAGTGAATAAGTGATCTGGCTCATCTGGATAATGTCACTATACCCCGCACTTACTTACCTGATGGATTTGGAAGGGTCTTAAAGGCAGAGCTGGATCATTTCTCCAACGCCAGCACAAAGGATTACGGTCAGTGCTCATACTTAAGACTGCAAAATGAAGAGAGGGCTGTTCACTGCGCCTTAGTTTTTGGAAAGTCACGCGTCTCACCGACAAAACTCACTACTATTCCAAGATTGGAATTGATGGCAGCAGTTGTTTCTGTGAAAACAAGCAACCTACTCAAGGAGGAATTAAGATCTGCTGACACTAAGGAGTTCTTCTGGACCGCCTCAAAGGTGGTCTTGGGATACATAAAAAATTATGTACAGCGATTCCACACCTTCGTGGCCAATCGCGTTCAGAAGATTCAGCTGAGCTCAGCTCCTCAACAATGGAGATATGTACCAACCAACAAGAATCCTGCTGACCAAACTTCTCGGGGCTTGACCACCAGTGAGCTTCTGTCATCCACCTGGCTCACTGGACCCCAGTTCTTATGGAACAAGGAAATGGAGCTGCTGGCAGATGATTCTCCAGAGTTGACAATTGGAGATCCAGAGGTCAGAAGCGCTTTAGCACTCACCACCAGAACCACAGAATGAGTAAGCTTGGTTGATCGCTTATCTAAGCTCTCGTCTTGGTCACTGGCAACTCGAGGTGTTGCACGCATTCTAAGGCGCATCCGCTAGAAAAGTCAAACAGTCTCACCTCTGTAAAAGAACAAGAAGATGCAGAACATTGCATGATCAAAGATCTGCAAAAAAATGTGTATCAAGAAGAGTTGAAGCTGTTAAGCAAAGGGATTCCCCTACCCTCTCAAAATCCACTGTACTCTCTCGATGCATTCCTGCACGAAAATGGAGTCCTCAGAATGGGAGGAAGACTGGGCAACTCCTCTCTTCCCAACTCCATCAAGCACCCTGCAATCATTCCCAAGAATCATCACATCACAAAGATGTTGATTGCTCATTTTCACGACAGGATGAAACATCAAGGTAAAGGTCTCATTAATCGCGCTGTTGCGTCTTACATTCATCAATGCGTCAACTGTAGACGCGCCGGAAACCGACTGAAGAGCAAAGGATGGCCGATCTTCCACCTGAACGTGAGGAACCATCACCCCCCTTTAACTTCTGCAGAATGGACTGCTTCGGCCCATTCCTCACTAAGCAAGGAAGAAAGGAGAGCAAGAGGTACAGCCTTCTCTTAACTTGCCTCAGTTCCCGTGCCATCCATATTGAGATGCTCAATAGCATGTCAACGGATGCTCTCATCAATGGCCTGATATGTTTCATTAACATACGATGCTTTGTTCGTCAGATTAGGTCTGACCAAGGAACCAACTTTGTTAGAGCCAAAAACAAATTCAAAGAGGCTCTAAACGAGGTTAATGCAGACCGTCTGGCTGAATTTCTGGCAGACAAACAATGTGACTTTGTCATGAACGCACCCCATTCAAGTCACGCTGGGGGGTGTGGGAGAGACAAATCAGGCTAGAATTGGGAACAACGTATGTTGTAAAAATATATTTTTATGCAGAGTTATGTGTGTTTAGCGGACTTAATCGGAACTACACGACCTTGGCCTACTCCGGCGGCCCGCTTCGACATCGACCCCCACTACTGCAGCACACCCACAGAGGAAGTGCTGCAGGCTGCACCGCCTGCAACGGTGGCAGGGAAGCGCAGGGGGTATCCAGGCCAGGCTAGCGGCTAATCCACACAAGCCAGCTATACCGTCCATCGTACTCGCCAATGTACGCTCCTTGGACAACAAACTGGACTACATACACCTTCTGAGAGCTACCCAGCAGACTGTGAGAGAGTGCTGTGTCTTTGTATTCATGGAAACATGGCTCAACAACAGCATACCGGACTCCGCCATCCAGCTCGACCGTCTAAAATGCTACCGTCCAGACAGAGCCCTCATTGAAGGAGGTAAGGCCCGCGGCGGCGGGGTCTGTGTTTACATCAGGGATGCTTGGTGCCAGGACGCTGTGGTGGTTTGCAGACACTGTTCACCCCTTGTGGAGTTTATGATCATCAAGTGCCGGCCTTTCTATCTACCGAGGGAGTCTTCTGCCATCCTGCTTGTTGCAGTTTACATCCCTCCCAGCTGCAATAACAACGATAGAGACAAGGCACTGAGTGAACTGTACAACACCGTCAGTGACCAGCAGACAGCCCATCCAGAGGGACTTCTCATCGTGGATGGAGATTTCAAGGAGCCTGTGGCAGGGGATACAGACCATCACGGACTATAAACCTCGACCACAGACCTGTGACAATGACACCACTCTGCTGAACAGTCTGAACAACTTCTTTGGATGGTTTGAAGCTGACAACAGCACTCCTGCACAGAAGACAACACTCCCTCCAGATGACCAGGTGTTGTCACTGTCTCCAGCCCGTGTGAGGAGGTCCCTCTCCAGGATGAATGCTCGCAAAGCTGCAGGACCTGACAACATTCCTGGTTGTGTGCTTAAGGACTGTGCAGAGGAGCTCACAGATGTCCTCACAGATATCTTCAATACCTCCCTAAGCCAAGCTGTTGTCCCCACCTGCTTCAAGAGCACCACCATCGTCCCTGTTCCAAAAAAGGCATCTCCATTGTGCTTCAACGAATACCGCCCTGTGGCACTGACCCCCTATCATTATAAAGTGCTTCGAGCGGTTATTCATGCAGCACATCAAATCCATCCCCCCTCTCTCCCTGGACTCATACCAGTTTGCATAACTGGCCAACTGGTCCACTGATGATGCAATCTCCACTGCCCTCCACTCAGCTCTCACTCACTTGGACACTAAGGACTCTTACGTGAGGATGCTGTTCTTAGACTTTAGTTCAGCTTTCAACACTATCATCCCCGAGCAGCTGATACAGAAACTGGACTGTCTAGGACTGAACACCTCACTCTGCAACTGGTTGCTGGACTTCCTGACCGGAAGACCACAGGCAGTCCGAGTCGGCAGCAATGCATCCAGCACCATCACACTGAACACAGGGGCCCCCCAAGGATGCGTGCTCAGCCCCTTACTCTTCACCCTGCTGACCCACGACTGCACACCAACACACAACAGCAACCTCTTCATCAAGTTTGCGGAGGACACTACTTTGGTGGGACTCATCAACAACAACATGAGTCAAACTACAGGGACGAGGTGAGCCAACTGGCCGCGTGGTGCAGAGGCAACAATCTCTCTTGTTGAGAAGATGAAGATTGAGATTGTTGTCGACTTCCGGAGAGTCTCCACCCAGCACACTCCATTGACCATCAACGGTGCTGCTGTGGAGAGAGTGAGCAGTAGGCCTGGGACGACAAATTTTGCTGGAATATATATTTCACATGAATTATTGCTGATAAACGATATTATTGTCAACATGATAATATATCATAATAATGACACCCTTTCAAAGACAATAAACTTTTATTTCTCAGTGTTTTTTACTTTTTGCGATGTAGCGAACTTCACTTTCAATGAGCGCACACCATTTTGCGCTGTGAACCCTCTTGTCATCCAGCCTGCTTGGAGGCGAGAGAGGAGGAAAACAAACACGCATGCACATGACAATATATCGAGGCCGGAAAAATTATCGAGTTCATTTTAGGCCAGTGAGCAGCACCAAGTTCCTGGGTGTGCACCTCACTAAGGACCTCTCATGGAGCAGCAACACCGCTTCACTGGCCAGAAAAGCTCAGCAGCGCCTCTACTTTCTCTGCAGACTGAGAAAAGCCAGAGCACTGGTCCCCATGCACATCTTCTACAATGGAACCACAGAGAGCATCCTGACCAGCTGCATCACTGAGTGGTACGGCGGCTGCACCGCATCCTCCCGGAAGACCCTGCAGCGCATAGTGAGAGCAGCTGAGAGGATCATCGGTGCCCCCCTCCCTTCAGGACATTTACAACAAACACCTGGCCCGAAAAGCACTCAGCATTGCGGGCACCCATCCCAACCACCGCTTCTTCAACCTCAAGCCTTCTGGGAGGAGAATGAGGAGCCTCCGGGTGAGAACCAGCAGACTGAGGGACAGCTTCATCCAACAAGCCATCGGGATGCTCCCAGCACTTCCCCCCCTTCCTTCTCTTCCCCCTGCCCCCACAAACTGTGGTTATTACTATTAGTCATAATTCTATGACATTAATATTAATTTGTTTATTATTGTAGCATTGTTATATATTACCACCACTCCTAACCACTGCTACTGTAATCATTGTCTTTCATTGTAATTGTACAATATTTTTCTGTTGTGTTGTTCTGTACACTTGACATCCATTGCACGTCTGTCCGTCCTGGGAGAGGGATCCCTCCTCTTAGGCTCTCCCTGAGGTTTCTTCCACCTTCTTTTCCCTGTTAAAAGGGTTTTTTTGTGGGCAAGTTTTTCCTCACTTGAACCGGTCTAAGGACAGAGGGTGTCACTCCCTGTACAGATTGTAAAGCCCTCTGAGGCAAAATGTGTTTTGTGAATTTGGGCTATACAAATAAAATTTGATTTTGATTTGATTTGAAGATACATTGAAGAACTTAAATCCAAATCATAAATACAGAAACTAATGATCGGCAAACTGAATGAGATAATCTTCCCAACAGAAAGGAATATTTACCAGGCTGACTCCATGTATTTATATTGACATGAGCAAATCTGAGAGAGGTTGCATGTGAAGATTGTTTTACCTGCTTTCCATGTCCAGACAGCGTCGATTGGCCATGAGAATCTCTTCTTCTTCCTTCTGGATTCGAGCCTCCACTGATGTATCATAGCTGCTGCTTGGAGAGTGGCTTATCAATGCGGCAGATGTATCCCTGCAAAACAGGACAGAGTCTCCATTATTCTATAGTACTATCCAGAACATCCAGAGAAATTCAGAATAAACTGTTGACCTGTTATGAATGGCTGTCTAACCCTAGGATTGGTGAAATCCATTAATTGCCTGCTTTAGTGACCATGTTAACAGGTCGGTTTGTGAGGTCAGTTACATTATAATTTCTATCAAACGTAAATCGCTGAGGTGATTAAGGTGAATTGCATGCACAGAGCCCAAAGGACAGTCACTATCTCATCCACAGCCTGTTATCCTTGCTGTCGTACTACCTAACAGAACTCTGAGACTAATGAGTCAATCCTCCTTACTCAGTAGAAAGTTGTTAGTGATTATTTATTTACTCTATAGAACTTGGCAATTCAATTTCGTCTCCCCAATTCCACATGCCGAAGTGTCCTTGGGCAAGATATTTGAATTCTAAATTGCCACTGGTGTCAGTGCTACAAGTGCATAATAGTGACAGGGCACACACTGTATGATTTGTGTTTGATTGGAAAATAAAATAAAAAACTAGTCAACCATTTAAATTGGAGGATTGCAGAATTCTATAAAAAAAAACCTTCATAACATCTAGCAAAGTTGTGAACACTCTCGAGAAGGTAGGCATATAATTGTCAAAGTCTACAATCAATGAATGTAAATACAGAGGGTTCACCACAAGGTGAAACCACTGGTAACACTCAAGAACAGAAAGACCAGATTCGACTTTGCCAGAAAACATCTAAAAAGTTGCTTGGTAACCGTCAAGATGACATCAGAGCCACAAATATGAGACTGTGCTTGTCTCCCCCCACCAAGACCTTGAAGAGGCCTTCAGCCTGTGTCTTATCTCCTGGTGTTTAACTTCTTACTTGGTTCAGACACGCACAGATATTTCACCTCTTAACACAGAAACATTTCACCTTTTCACTAAATCTGCATAAAAGCACACACCTGGAAATGTATCTTTGTCATTGCCTCTGCAAAATGCTCTTCACATGCTGTGTGATTGTCTGTCCTTCCTTACAAGGAATAAAGTACAATTAAAAGACTATTATTCTCAGATCTCTTTATTTCAAAAGTCTCAACGGGTCAAATTTCCACCACAAGAGTCAGTCACTAGACCTCAAACCAATCGAGCTTGCTTTTCACAAACTGAAGAAAAAACTGAAGGAAGGGAGACCCACAAACAAGCAGCAACTGAAGGCAACTCAGCATTTGGTGATGTTCATGGGTTCCAGACTTCCAGACCAGGTATTAAAAATAATCAGCCTTATTACGAACAACCCTTGGCACAGTCGCCTCACTTAAAAAAGAAGATAGTAAATCTGAGGAGATTATCTTAATGGTATGATTCTTTAACACATGCTTTAAAACAGACATCACAGAAACTGGGAATTAAGTGATGTTCCACCAGTTGAGATGACAGGCCTCCAAAATGCCAGAACCTCTTATTATTCATTAATAATAGAATAAAATAAGAACAACCCCAGGTTCATCTTCAGCACTGTACCCAGGCAGCTCTACAAATCTGTCTATTCATTTAAGATGTAGAGATTTCATAAACTTCTTTTCAAATAAAACTGTGACCATCAGGGAAAAGACTAGTTTGTCTAACACAAACTAAACCATTTTCCTTATGAAGCTAGAAAAAATTAGGTTTGAAATTGTGTAAAGTTGGTTTTTTTTGGCTGTATTGAAAGACTACAAAAGACAAAACAGGCAGAAAAATACAGATATCTATTAGAAGAAAAGAAGATGAGGACAGGGATTCCTAGCTAAGCTAAAAAAAAGTAGCAAAGAGTTTTACAAAGCATCATCCAATGAAAGGACACGTAAAAAACAGTTATGTGCTGGGTCATAAAATAGCCATAAGTAGCAAGCCATTTTCTGATTGGGAATGTATCAAAGACTGATCTGATTGACTCTGTAGCAATAATCTGCCCTGTTTTTAAAATCTGTCCCTCTCAGGGCAAACGATTACAAGGCAGGTTGAGGACATTGCAGGAAATCTGGAGGTACAACTGAAAAACAAAGCTGATTTTGACCTCTTTTAAGTGGCTCTGGATGAGAGTTGTGATGTGCGTGACATAGCCCAGCTACTTCATACGTGGAAAATAAGACTTTGAAATAATGTAGATACTGGCTTCCATACAGTCAATGAAAACAACTGGTAAGGATATATTGATTTGATTTCAGGCATGCAAAGGTTAGGACTACAGTGGGAAAGGGTTGGTCAGTGTTACATCAGACGGGTGTCCTAATTTATCCGTGAAAAAAACCTGGCCTTTTGAAGAGGCTGCAAGATCCTTATCTTCTGTTTAATATTTTTTTGATGTGTATACAAGAATAACAGAGGCATTTACAATTAAACATGTTTGCATAGACCCTTAGATTTATATTTGTATATTTTGGATTTTCATATTTTAAGAACAAACGATTGCAAAAAAGTCCATAAACGGTTGCCATTTATTGTATAATTTGCTCAAGTTTCCCCTTCTCGGATATCTAATTTTCTCTACTTTCAAAAATGACATAGTCTCTTTGATCCATTGTGTGCTGGAAGGAGCTGTTGTGGATTTCCAATTCAGAAGGAGGTGGTGTTTAGTAATTACAGAGGTAAAAGCTATTACTTCCAATTCTTTATTAGAATACAGGGTATAGTCTTCTGAAAGACCAAAAATGCCAGTGTGTGGTGAAGTGTGAATAGTCCTTGAGAGTACCTTCGACATATGTTGAAGTAAATTTGCCAAAAGTTCGTCAGAGTTGGACAAGAGAAAAACATATGCGTAAGATTACAGGATGAGCCTCTGCATCTGTCACAGACATCTACCATATTTGGGAAAATCTGTGCCAACCTTGTTTTCGAATAATGGAATCTAAATACAACTTTAAACTGTATCAAGATCAAACGGGCACAGACAGAGGTTTTGTGAATGACTTCCAGTGCGGATTCCCACCAGCATTCATCAAAAATCAATCCCAGCTCACGCTCCCAAGTCTCCTTTGTGTTGTTGGTTAAATGATCATCATATGACTGGATGGAATTGTAAACCTTTGAGATTAAAGACTTTTGTGAAGTATTAACTTGTAGGAGTTCACCCCATGGCAGCTTAGGTGGAAGGTGAGGGAAGTTGGGAAATAAGGATTTTACACAGTTCCTCACCTGGAAATATCTAAAAAGATGAGAGGCTGGAAGATTGAATTCAGTCACGAGGTCTGCGAAAGATCAAAAGATCCCTTCCTTATAGAAATCCTCAAAACATTTCAGTCCCTTATCATGCCATAAGGAGAAAGTGGAATCAGTAAACGTGGGTTTAAACACAGGATTCTTTAACAATGGGGTTAAAACTGTGGGAGCAGTAAATTTAAATTGTTTCCTAAATTGAAACCATATCTTGAGTGTGGCAATAACCACAGGGTTGCAGGTAAGGCCAGAGGGGTTAGTGGTCACTCGGCCGGTCAATAAAGCAGAAAGAGAGACTGGGGGACATGACTGTCCTTCCAGCTGATACCAAGGTACATCAATTGACTTAGACCAGAGTATAATTTTAGAGAGAGGCTGCCATAGAACTTATAGTTCTGCAGTATTTTTTGTCTAACTTTAGGTATCTTGCCATTCCACAAAAAATGACAAATAATCGAATCAACTGTTTTAAAAAAACTTTTGGGTAAAAATAAAGGCAAACATTGAAAAAGAACTAGAAATTTTAGCAGAACACTCATCTTGACAGTATTTATTGTCCCTATCAGAAATTTTCAGAGTAAAGAAACTTGAAGGACCTGGTTATGTTAACCCCAAGATACCTAAATCCCGAAGGACTCAATTTGAAAGGGATGTCTGACTGGGAGAGTTGCATCTCCAGTTTATTAATGGGATAACATTCACTCTTGGCAACGTTAACTTTATACCCTGAAAACCGGCCGAATCTACGAAAGAGTGAAACAATAGCGGGGCAGGCTCCTACAGGATTTGTGACAGGTCATTGGCATATAACAATAATTTCAACTCTGTGTGAGTCCTGGTGATGCCATCAAAGGTGGGAGAGGTCCTAAAATACATAGACAAGGGCTATATTGCAAGTGCAAACAAGAGACAGGGGGCAGGCTTGTCTAGAACCTCTATTTAGAAAAAAATAACCGGAATGAGTGTTATTAGTGATAATACTGGCACAGGGGAGGGTATAGAGAAGGTGTAACCATGAAATAAAACTTTCACCAAATCTGAATTTAGCTAAGACTAGAAATAAATAATTCCATTCCATTTTCACAAAAGCTGCGGCATCCTTAGATGATGTAAATTCCCTTGTGACATCCCCTCTGGTGATCCGGAGGCACACTGGATGTAACAGCCCAAACCTTATGTTGGGGATGTCCCTGAGCTGGCGTCGGATGTCAATGAAGGCTGCACGGGCTTTGGCTGTGTGTGTGGTGAAGTCCGGGAAAATGTAGATCGTTGAGTCCTTCACCTTGAACTGCCGCTGGGTTCTGGCACATCGTAGGATATCGGCACATTCTGTATGGTAGTGTAAACGTGCTATTATGGGACGAGGTCGCTCACCGGGTTTCGGCTTAGGCTGGTCTTTTCATAAGCCGAGAGTGTCTTTCAGCAGGGTGGAAACTGTAGACGTGTCGACCGTGCCATGCTCCTCGGGTAGTCCTATTATCCTGATGTTGCTATGGTGAGACCTCGCCTCCAAATCTTCACATCTACTGTCAAGAGTAACAACTTGGGCCGAAAGTTTGTCCACTTTACTTTTGAGTGAAACCACATCATGCATGAAGACAGCGAGCCCTCCATGTCAATCACTGTTACCTTAAGTACATCCACCTCTGACCAGATAGGGGGGGTAGGCCTCATTAGCGTAGCCGTCAAGTTGTTCGTATTTTTCTGTTTTGGAGGCATATCGGAACGTAATGCAGTCACAATGAGCTTGTGGAGTCAAAATATAATCATAAAAAGTTCAAGAAAAAGCCCTATCTGTTCATTTAAGAAAGTTTCACAGGAGCTCCAGAAGGCACGTCTCACTCCATCAGTCACTAAGCCGTAAGTCCAAGATCCTTATCTTGTCAAAGATTAACCAAGAACATAAACTATATTTTTGCACTGTATTATTTTACAAAGGTGCTATGCAAGTCGGTGCTGAAAATAAGCCATGTGATCGATGTTACAAAATTTGTAAATTTCATCAGGGCAAGAGCATTAAATCACAAGCAATCTGTTGGTCTGTTGGAGGAGTATGAGACTGAACACTGATCTGAGCTACCAACACAGAGTCGAGTGACTCAGCCTGGGCAAAGTGCTCTAAGGAGTGTGGGACCTGAAAACTGAAGATTCATGAGTTTTGTTAGATCAAAGGTAAGAACATCCCTGAACTAACCAGTGAAGAGTGGTTGGTTTATATGGCATTTTCCATGGACATAACTGCCCTCATGAATGAACTGAACTCAAAATTGCAAGGAAAGGGTCTCTTTGCATGAGATGCACAGCCCAGTCAAGGCCTTCATGAACAAGCTGCTATTTCTCTCTCGAAAAGTATATCCCGCCTGCAGGGGCGGCGCGTCCCATTGGGCAAGTYGGGCAGTTGCCCAGGGCCTCGGCCACCAGGGGGCCTTGTCGTATTTACGTTTTTTTTTTTTTTAAATAATTCAAATAAATCACTTGTCATTGCACATGCATGTGACTGGAATGTAATGTTTCTAAGTGTCTTCTTAATTTGTTGGGTCTCATACTGTCAGCTGCCAGAGTTGCCACAGGAACGAGCTCTGATCTCACTGTGTGTCTCTCAGCGAATGAAAGAGGGCGGAGCCCCGGCTCCTGTGTGTGTGTGTGTGTGCTGTCCGGACACACACACACACAGGAGCCCGCACAAAACTGTACAGGGAGCCGCTGCAGAGCCCCGGGTTGCCGAGTCCTTTCTACGGCGAAATAACGATTTGTTTACAATTCCACCGTTAATTAAAGAGATGCAGACGTCAAAACATTAGTTCCGCCTCACATTTCCCCTCCCGGTCGCAGATTCACAGTTTGAGAATCACTCATAGACTGTATATAAAGAATCACTGCAGATTTGGGAGATCGAGAGCCGGTGAACTGTCCCTCGCGTGCCTCCCCTTCCCCCTTCTCACGCAGCATCAAGCCGGGGCGCCTAGTGTGGTGGAGTGTATGTGATCGCGGAAACATGAAACGATTTCAAAGTGGCAGTGASAAAAGAAAGAAGAAAAGGGAGGAGGAGAAGTTAAGGGAGAAATTACCTAAGCTTACAAAGTTTTTCCAATCAAAGAATTTGTCTGTGGAAAATGAAGACATATCTGATAATGTTTCAAGTGCTGCTGGGCYAAGTTTAGCTATTGCTAGCAGCAGCAGACACACAGCCACTTCAGCACCAACTAGCCCTGCCTGCCTTGCTTCTAAAAACGATGAGACATCATCGTGTACCACAGCTGCCCATATCCCTGACACTGACACCTGCACTGAAGACGCGCAGGATACTGCCATGGTCATCATCCCTGCTCAAGCTGGATGATAGGGAGAGCAGTGATGTCAGCAATGTGAGTAACCCCAATGAGACAGTGATCAGTGAAGACCCAGCATTATGGCCTGAAATAATTACAGATAGGGAGAGAATTKAAATTGTTAGAACAGGACCAGTACAAACTCGAAACTTTAATTACCCCCAAAACACAGATAACCCGCCAAGGAGATTCACGATTGAAAACTTTGAAATGAAAATGAAAAACAGGGAACAAATTACAAGGAAGTGGCTCGTCTACTCGACCAGTGCTGATGCAGTTTATTGTTTTGCCTGTCGAATCTTTGGGAAAAGCAAAAACTCACTCAGTCTCAGCACCAATGGATTTCGTACATGGAAACATATCGGAGAACATCTCAGAACTCATGAGCGCAGCAGGGAGCACATAGATAATATGGAAAATTGGCACCAACTTGTGGCAAGATTGAAACTTAACACCACAATTGACTCCGTGAACCAAGAGCTGATAAATACGGAAATTACCCACTGGAAAATGGTGCTGAGGAGACTCTTTGCCATTGTATGCCATTTGGCTGAACGGAATTTAGCATTTCGTGGCCACACTGAACACCTGTATCAAACCAGAAATGGGAACTTCCTGGGTCAGGTTGAATTAATGGTCCAATTCGACCCAGTGATGAATGAACACTTGAGGAGAATCCAAAACCAAGAATGCAGAGATCATTACCTCAGCAAACAGATACAGAATGAGATAATATCTGTAATAGCACAAAAGACCACAGATGCTGTTGTATCTCTGTTAAAGAGAGCCAAGTACTTTGCTGTCATAATGGACTGTACACCAGACAACAGCCATACTGAACAGCTAACCCTTGTAATGCGCATTGTTAACTGTGCAGAAAATGTGGGTATTTCCATTGAGGAGCATTTTCTTGGTTTTGTTGATGTCCATGACACAACTGGGAAAGGACTGTATGAAACTTTCACGGACCAACTGACCAAATTTGATCTTGACATCTGTGACTGTCGTGGGCAGGCATACGACAATGGGAGCAACATGCAGGGTAAGCACCAGGATGTACAGAGGAGAGTGCTAGACACAAACAAGAAGGCCCTGTATGTGTCATGTGGGAGTCACAGTTTAAATTTGGTTATTTGTGATGCGGCACAGTCATCTAGACAGTCTGTGAACTTCTTTGGTCTCCTCCAGAGATTGTACAACTTGTTCAGTTCCTCTGTGCAACGGTGGGAGATTATGCAGAAACATGTACTGATGATGACTGTCAAAAGTCTGTCTTCAACCAGATGGGAGTGCAGAGTGGACAGTGTAAAAGCTCTCYGGTACCAAAKGCCTCAGTTTGTGAAAACCTTGGAGGCACTCATTGACCATGCCATGRCCAAAAGACCTACAGATTCTGAGACTGTGTCCAAGTGTGAAGCACTTTTGAAAGACATACAGACCTGGAGTTTCCTTGTGAGTGTTATTGTTTGGTATAACATTCTGTACCAAATAAATCACATCAGCAAACTCTTTCAGAGTCCAAAAATCTCAATAGAGACCCTGAAAAGAGAGATGGATGGACTTGGAGAAAGTCTGCAAGAGTACAGAGAAAGTGGGCTTAAATCAGCGCAGACAGATGCCAGGGAGATGGCAGAGGAATTAAAAATTGAGATGACACTCCCTGAACAGAGACAGCGAACAACTACTCAAAGAGGCCTGTATGAAGGAAGAGAGGAGACAAAGTTCATCCCCTGAAGAGCGTTTCTACAGGGACTTCTTTTTACCTCTCATTGATACAGCCCTTTGTAGCATCAGAAATCGATTTGCTCAGACAGAGACATATTTCGGTCTTTATGGATTTCTTTATTCAYTGGAGAACATGAAAAAAGCAGTGCATGAAAGAACACTCGGCATTAGCTGCCAGAAGATGGAGGTGGAAACAGAGGATGTTGATGGTGCTGATTTGGAACTGGAGATACGGGCTGCAGTTAAAGCCTTTCCAGACTGCATCTCCTCCCCTTCAGAAATGCTTGATTACATABACAAGGAGAACTTACTGGATTGTTACCCCAACCTAAGCATTGCACTCCGATTACTTCTCACACTGCCTGTCACTGTTGCTTCTGGGGAAAGGAGTTTTTCTGCCTTGAAACTAATCAAGACATATCTGAGGTACACCATGGCTCAGGAGCGACTGTCAGGTCTGGCAGTAATATCCATTGAGCAAGATGTGAGGAGAAAGCTAGAAATGGACGATGTCATCACTGCATTTGCCAATGCTAAATCACGAAGAATCAGGATTTAATCCTGCACTCAACACTCACACACAGTAAGTGGCAGTTATAACTCCTTTCAATTCATGCCATTTTCATTAAAATGCTATACTGAATGCTAACTTATATGCTCCTTCTCTCTTTTAGTCTGCTTTTTCAGGTATTTGCTCGCCTCCTGTGCAGATTGAAGAATGGGGAGCTGCACCTCCTTTGCCCTCCGACTCCATCCCCACCTTGGCCCACTCTTTTCACCAAACCCCACATACAAAGACGGAAACA